AAGAAAATTGCCCAAACAATCGAAAAAATTAATGAACTCCGCACAAAGGTTTTCTATATTATGCAAAGCACCCATATAGTCATTTAACACATAATCCTTGTTTCGTAAGTTTTGCCAGTTGTCTTTCAAGATCGACTACCCATACAAACAAATGTCCGCGGATGACCCATATGAACAAATGTCCCCAAATAACAATGAAGAAACTTCACTATAGCAGAAGGTGAACAACATGAGGTCACAATTAGTACTCTAAAATGCACAACCTGCACTTTCGGCTTCCAAAATTGGAATCCTCGTTTCCATGGCCTGAAAGCAAAAGTGTCTCACGCTGCTAGTCTGCAGTTTGCATCGAGCCACGGTGTGTTAAAGAATAACTGTTTTGTCTTTAAAACATCAAGTTTCGGACCCCAAACATGTCCGATAAAGATTTAAAAAAAAAAAAAAAAAAGTTTAAGAGAAAATTAATTTCTTTAGAAGTACAGTTACAAATCTTGGACCGTCTTTTAAAAGGAGAAAAGGCATCTCACATTGGGAAAAGTTTTAATTGGAATGAAGAAACAGTCTGGACTATTAAGGAAAATTAAAAAGAAGTGTAGTTGCTGCAGGATCTTCGACGTCCACAAAATGTGCAGTTCGCCCCTGGCGGCTGCCAATAATTGAGAAGATAGAAAAGGCACTCAGCATTTGGATTGATGATAGCTGTCAAAAACGAATTTTGTTGGATTGTAATATCATTAAACAAAAAGTGCTCAAAATTTTCAAGCATCTCAAAGAACATGGAAAACCCTCTGTCAGCCCAGATTTTCTGGTAAGTAAAGGTTGGTTTGAAAATTTCAAAAAGCGTTTTGCAATTCATAGTATAAGAATTCAAGGAGAATCTGCATTGGTTGATTATGAAACTGCTGGAACATTTCCTGAAAAATTTCAAAATATTATAAAAGAACAAGGATACACAGCAGTTCAAGTTTCCGATGCTGACAAAACTGGGCTTTGGTGAAAAAGAAAAATGCCCAGTAGAATCGAAAATATATTTACATCGAAAAATATATAGAATTGTATCGGGAGGGGAAAAAAAACAAAAAAAAACCTGCATCCAGATTTAAGGTGTCTAAAAATTGTCTAATGCCACTTTTGTTCAGTATGACTTTAGACTTTATGATAAAACCTTTGTTAGTTTTTAGATCTTTAAATCCTAATGCACTTAAAGGCGTAAAAAGAAAAACACCTTAACGGTATATTGAATAGCTGGGACAACATTTAAAGATTGTTGTTGTTTGTCTTCTGAATTAGTATTTATTTGTCGTGTTATTGTGTCTTAATTATTTAAAGATTGGTTTTTAAATTCTTTTTTGCCAGACGCTGAATGTTATTTAAGGCAGAAAAATTTGAGCTTCAAGGCACTTAATACTATTAGCTCTATGTCACCTTTAAGATTTGAATCATCCCAATGTCAAAATACTGTTCCTATCACCTAATACTACTTCATTACCCCAACCATTGGGTCAAGGTATTATTTATACTTTTAAAACTTATTACACAAGAAGAGCATTACAGTAGATTTTAGAAGTAATCGATTCAAAATCAATTAATATAATGAAAACATGGAAGTCTTTCCATGTTTTCATTACATTAATTGATTTTCATTCAAGAACTGAATCTTATTAATTTATTTACTTATTAATTTTCATTCAAGAACTGAATCGACATCATTACTTTGTCTCTGAAGGAACTGAAAGTATCAACGTTAAATGCATCTTAGAAGAAGATATGGCCCTCTTCAGTTGAAATAGAAAACATGCATGAATCTTCAGCAAATGAAATCGGTGGCATATTAAAACTTGCTGAATCAATCGGAGGCAAAAGTTTTGTGAATATGGCTATTGATGGCGTTCAAGATTTATTAGCAGAAGAAGAAATTGACGAAGGTTTGATCAAAATGGCATCTGAAGCTGTAAATCAAATCACTTCTGAGGACAGAATTGCTTTTCGATTTCTACTAACTGTGCCCATAAAACCTGTGTTTATCATTTCAAGTATTTTAGCTAATGATAGAGAGGGAAAATAATTGTCTGCAGTCAAATTTCTACCTGAATTCAGATAACGGCTTAAAGACCCATTACTACATTTTCAGGAAGACTTTCAGTTTCACTTCTCGATGTAGCTTTTCCAAGATATGGAAAAGCATTGCACATAAACTTTGAGTCCACATCGACTAACATAAAAAATTTGATACCGAATTTGTATGGTTTATTCGGCATATGCTGCATAAACTTACACCTGGCTTTGGATGGAAATAACTGCTCATTCACAATTAGATTTTCTCCTGACGTACAGTTCGCAGGAAAATGCACAGTTCTGTTAAATTGTTCCCAAATATCTGAAAAAAGTGCAAAGTTATCACTTTCTAAACACTGAGTCCTAGTTTACTTATCTTTATATCACTTCAGATGTGAGTTACTATTACTTTACACTGAGTCCTAGTTAAGTCAAATGTTAGATATTTCATAACTATCTTGAAAACAATTGCAAGACATTGTTTCTCTAAGAAAAGGAGGACCCAATGTATTATTCCACAAAAAATCATAATCCATATCATTGCAACCATATGTTTCTCTTTCATAAATACTAGCAATAAAAGCATCCAGCTCTTCTAAAACATTGTCCAAATTTCTTCATTGTTCAAAACTGCCTCTGCTTCCATGCACTTTTTAATATGGCGTACCATCAGTTCATCCACAAACACACGACACTCGACATCTTGTCGCCGAAATTTCTCTTTGCATAAGGATGTTGAACCCAGCAATTCTTTTAGCACATTCGAGCTCCATATTTCCCAGCTGTAATTTGTAAATTAGATGTCACAGTCCATGAAGGAAGGTGTTTTCATAGTGATAAGGAAGTATATCCTGTTGTAAATAATCAGTGAATGAAACGAATGTGTACGCCAGATGTTTTTAGAAGAAAACATGATTTTTAAGCAAGGCAACGATAAATCTATCCAGTATTACTAGTAGTCAATACGACTGCTCATGGCTTTTTTAGGTATAACTAATAATATCTTCGTTAGTTTTAATTTTATTCAATTCATATTTGGTACCGATAACTTCCGAGGTTTTTTAGGAAAATCCAAAAATTTGTGACTTTTTAAGGTAAAGGGTTTTTTTAGGAATGCAAGGTGAAATGACAAAAGCAGTCAAAATGACTGCCCTGATGCTTCTAGTGTTAATGCCTTAAACATTTTTTTATAAATGCTTTAAAATTCAGTTGAAGTACATGAATTATTTAATTAAATATTTTAGTTTCCTTTACCTTATGTATGTATATGGATATAAAGAGAAAAAAATTTCTTTATAACTTCTATAAAAAGATATATGAATTTTAAATTTATAAATTAAAAATGATATTTTATGGATTATGTATAAAATATAACTGTCCATAGTTGCATTTTAAAACACACAAGATTTCTAATAAGTTATCCAGCTATGACACTGAAGAAATTGATGCTAAAATTTTATATAGTATCTGTTTTCTACTAAAATTTGGGCATATTTTTAAAATATTTATTCTCACATGGCAGCCAGTATGCAAGCATAGCACATTTTGTGTAAATATAGTGAACTTTTCTTTACAGTTGCTCTGTATTTTTAAAGTACCATCTATTGTTAAATGCATTTAAATTTTTATTTGCTTTGCAGTAACAGAATATTTTAGGTTTAATTATACATGATTTCATTAATATTTAAGGCTTCTAGAAACGCAAAGAAATTTTTAAAAATTATTTCAGCTTTTATACAATTAGAGTTGTTCATAATATGCATTATAACCTTATATAAAAATTACTGATGTGCTTTACTTTCACAGTTCATAAGCAGAAATAAAAATTAAATATCTTAATAGTCCAAATCATATGAGTTAAATACAGTGACATCTGGTGGCAATACATGCAATTGGCCACCATACTTCTGCAAGCACAAATCCAACGCAGTAATGTAAATGGTCATCTGTCTGCATGTGTGTTTCTTTCAGTGATGTGAAGCATTTGCAACGCACTAATGGAAACGAGGCTTTGCAATGTAGGAATAATTTTTGAATGCATTGCCTTTGACATCCTTGGACCTGTGCCACGAATGGCTGATAGCAAGAAATATTTCCTCATTGTAATTGATTACTTTACAAAGTGGCCTTAAGCATATCCTATTATCTGTGATCAAGAGGCTGTCATGGTAGCAGAAGGTAATGATACAAACTGGATTTCCAAGTTTTGAATGCCTTTTCAATAACATTCAAATCGGGAAAATTTTATCTCTGCTGTAATTAAAGAACTCTATAAGCTATTTGGGGGTTTACAGAAACCAACAGGACTGAGACCAGAAGTTACCTCTATTCTTACTGGTTTATCACAGTGCTCTCCATGTGACTGTTAGCTATTTCTCTTCCGAGATGCTCTTTGCTCATGACCTTCGTTTGCATTCTGTTTTGTTGTTTGGTCACTTTCTGGATGCATCTTCATTACCTGAAGAGTACATTCAAGATCTCCAGGCACAGTTCCTCTTACAAGAAGTAACCAAAATGGGCACTATCAAAAAAAAAAAAAAAAAAAAAAAAAAAATCTATTGCCGAATATAAGTTGGATACCGATTCTTGAAAATCCATTTCCGCGATAAATGTTTCATATATAAAATGAAAATTATAAAATATTCTATGCTGATCACTTTTTAGCCTCTTCCTTTTTATATTCCTACATATAGGTTACATTTACTTAAAAACTTTATGCTCTTTAGAGGCCTAGGGTAGTCCGTCCCCAGCCTCCTTTTGATTCGCACTGTTTATGGGGTGCGTTTTTTTAAATAATCTCCATGTTATTTTTCAGTATTTTGATATATGCATACAGGTAGGACTAATCTCAACTTTGAAAATACCCCACTGCTTTTTGTTCTGTAGAAATCAAGTATCAAATTTTCAGTTGATTTCTTTTTTATTAATTAAAAATTCTTTTCTAGCTATAGTTAGCTGGGAAGAACGACGTGCAAAGAAGATCGCAAAGCAGTTGTGTGCAGCAGCAGTGGTGGATAATAATGAGGAGGATAACGAAGAAGAAGATGTAGATTTTGCTATAGGCATGAAGCTTCCTGATGAAGAAGATGATGATGAAAATGACGATGAAGTGAATGAAGAGGAGGAGGAGAATGGGCTCGAAGATGATGATGGAAATGAAGATGAAGAGGTAGAAGAAGAGGGTTCATCAGACAATGATGAGGAGTGTGAAGAGGAAGAGGAGGAAGTTTTTTCACCTTCCAAAAAAGGTTTTGTAATTTTATTATGTGATAAACTGTGCATAGCAAATCTTTTTAATATGATGCTGGAATGCACTTCCTTTATAATAGAGTTATGCATTGAATTAACTATATTAATGTTAACACGTTTACTACCAAGTATGAGTTATCTTGCAAGCTTGTGTTTAGGCACCAGCTACAAGTTAATTTGTAGAATGTTTTTGTTTTACATACGCCACATATGATCAAACTTGTAGTATTTTCATGTTCTTTGAAGATATCTGGCTTGGGAAATGAGAAAAAAACACAACAATTTTGCACAATTCAAGAAACTTCTTATAATTAATTTAAGTAATTATAGAATACATAACATAGGAACTGTAAAAATAATCAAGCAATTTATAATAATCTTTGTTATGAGCAACTGCCAACTATGAATATACTTGTTATGAGTATATTCGTAGTTGACACTGTCATAAAACATTTTATTGAAAAAAACCCATGATGATATAACTTGTATAATTAATAAAGCAATCAAAAATTATCTAAATTCATTCCCATAAATACTTGTTTTGTATTTTTATATTCTGTTAATTAAAATTTTGGCATGGTGGGACTGTTTTTGAAAATGTTGCTCAACAGTGAATGTGTTATAAGAATATAATTAATTTCCTTAAATATAAGAAAATTCAAACCTTACTGAATAAAAAGTAATTTTGCTGAGAAACTCTGCTTTTAAGGGAAATAAATATTCATGTAGTATATGATCTACTGTTTTTAGTTTGCTACCTATTTCATAGATGGCACCACTAAAGCACTGTTTTTCAAACATGGAAATGAGTATGAATTGAGAGAAATTGTTCCATTATTTAATTTAAAAACATGTTAAATCTAAAGTTGCTTGGCGACTTTTGTCATTGTTTTTTCCAAAAGGATTGCCAGACCATTGATATTTATCATAACTTGACAAATATTTGCAACATATTTCAAGAAAACAATAAAAATTGAATTTAAAATTAATACATTGCTCAACATTGAAAATGCAACACCAAGAAGGAGTGGTCAGAAATTTAGGCAAATTTTAGAGTAGACGCACGTCACTGAGTTATGCAAATGATGTGAAATGCGCAGCTCTCCGACGCACTTAAAGTAAGATACAAGGGAGGGAACGTGCAGAATGGGCAATATTCGTGTCGTTATTTCTGACAGACGAATTATTGAAGAAAGTTGTTTTTTTCCCGGAGGATACGTGTAATAGGAGAGAATGCCAGGCCGTTGTCAACGAAGGCACTTCCAGGAAATAGGACTGAGAAGGACGTCTTGGTCTGTATGTCAAATCGCTGCTGATACCCACATGGATGCGAGCTTGGTACATCGACTATGGCGAACATGGTTGGAACAAGAAATGTGGGAAGAAGGAAGAATGCAGGTGCAGCCAGAGTGACGTCAGCACGTGTGGATCGACACATCCGCCGACAAGCTTTTAGCGGACGCCAGTCACTTATACCGCGATTCTGCAGCATGTGCAAGATATCCTGGATGTAACCATGTCGACGAGTACCATTTCCCGTTGATTGGTTGAACGCGACCTGCAGTCACTGCGTCTATTAAGACTACCATTAAGCCCACAGCATAGACGCCAAGGTTTAGAATGGTGCCGGACTAGAGCGATGTGGATGACAGAACGGCGAAACGTCGTGTTGTCAGATGAGTCACGCTTCTGTTTATCCAGTGACAGTCGCCGCATACGTGTGTGGCGTCAATGTGGAGACAGATCTGATCCGGCAGTCCTACCGCGCGACAATGTGGCAGAATGGTTTGACGTGCTATTGCCTATTCCAGGTCATGTGTAGTTCATATTCAGGGCACTATGCCCCAACGATACTTGGATAATGTACTGCAGCCGATAGCAATTCCCTACATTCAGGGGCTGCCTAATGCAATTTTTCAGCAGGATAACGCCCAACCATAGTGCTTGGATCTGCCAACATGCTCTGCAAGGTATACAGATGCTTCTCTGGCCACCGTACTCTCCTGACCTGTCACCAATCGAACATGTGTGGGATGTGGTTGGACACCGTTTGCAGACTCTGCCCCTGTGTCGTTCAGGAGACAAACTGTGGCAAATGGTTGAAAGGGAATGGAGAGCCATCCCTCAGGACACCATCCGCTTTCTTATTGACTCTATGCCTAGATGTGTTTCTTCGTGCATTGCTGTCCGCGGTGGTCCCACATCCTACTGAGCCAACGCCGTTCTCGCTCTGTATTCTATCATTTTGAAATAAAGATCACTTGTTGCTGCTAGCTGTCTCTGTCTCTTTTCCAAATTTCATCACTTTCTGACCATTCCTTTTTAGTGTTGCATTTTCAATGTCGAGCAGTGTATAATAACCATTGTTCTCCCCATGTACACTTTTATCTGTTTTCACTGAAAGAAACATCAGAGAATTGCACTCATTCTCATCATTGTGCATATTAGACATTATGTAGATTATATGACAAATTACTTTTCTAATCTCAGTTATCAAAAAGAAAAAGGCATCTTATTATAGTGGCCTCTGAGATTGAATTGTTAATCAAGTGAGATATCTCGAAAAAAATCTTGCCACCTATTCTTAACCTTGTTCTTATATCAGCATCAGGTTACATTTTTTCTCTTTCCATATTTCTTCTATTAGCATCACATTTCATTTCAAGTTTTTTTTTTCCCCCTTTTAAATATTCCTTGCTTTTTTGTAATTGTGCTGTGTAAAAATTTCTAATTCACCAAATAAAGAGGCGGGTGTCAAGAAAGAGATCTTTTATCAGAGAAACGAGTATGCAAAATTGGTAACAATAGAAAACTATGTTAATGATGAAACCATTTGGAGAGGTGATGTAAAAATTCTAAAAAGAAGAAGGACACTTTGTGTTGAAAATTGTTCAGAGATTCCAGAATATCATTCATCACTGTTATTAGATTTATGTATTCTTTAGAAGAGGAGATGTCCATTTAATAATGTGACAAACAGCTTAGTATGTGCAAAAATGTGTAGTTGGCTGAAATGGATACATGTGGGAAGTGTGTTCTATACATATGATGTAAAGATTCAATGGATGAGTTGGTGGTCTCTATAAAATAGTTGAAATCATGAAAAGTTTGTTTATCCGATTTAAAAACAACAGAGGATTTTTGGGGGAATATGATGGGAAGATGGCAAGTGCATTCAAATATAGGTGAGAGATGCTAGTACACTTAATGGAGATAATTATTCAACATATACAAGATGGATCAACAATATATTCAGATTACTGGAAGGGATATAAAAGAGAGCAATTTGAAGAAGCTGTATAGTCACTTTACAGTGAACTATAACTGCAGTTTCATAGACCTAATAAAGGGTGTTCACCAGGGCTGTGGAGTTGGTAGGAAAAATGACAGACACAGACTCCTGGAATTTTAAAGACTCCGACTACCTCAGATATATATATATATGTGTGTGTATGTGTGTAAACATATACACATGGGTTAAGGCTTAAAAGAAGTAATAGATGCTACAGAAAAAAAAAAAAAAAAAAAAAAAAAAAATGATGGCATAGCAAATTATTTATATTAATTAGCATTTTTTATAAAATGGAAAAACTGACATTAGTTCGAAATCGTAAAAACAACCTTGTATTTAGCGTAGGTATGATGAAACACTCAATCGATTTCGAGGGCAGCTAAAGGTCCTTCCTCATCAGGAAAAAGAAATACTTAGAAAGAAGAAAATAAAGGAGTCACAGAAACACGTGGTCCTTATCAGCACTGCACATGGTTATAACTAGATTTTTAATCAGAGTTGCACTGGCCGCCAACTTTTACTGAGCCAGGCTATCTGATCAAGCATAAAGGACAAGAAAAAAGTTGCGAAGTTAAATTAGGGAGCGAGGGGCAAATGCACCTTGCGCTCAAAATCTGAACTTCAAATAATGGAAAGCAACCACTGAACGAATTTTTATACCCTCTGGTAGTACCAAACGCGAGGAGGTAACGCCATCTATCGGCAAAAATAACTGAATTAAGATAGTAGGATTTTAAAAGCATGTTGAAGTTTCGTATCAAGGAACATGAATCGTATGTCAGAAAAGGCGAAATTAACAAGTCTTCAATAGCGTATCGTAGTTGGACTTTTAACCATTATTTTGATTTTGGGTATGCAAAAATTATCCAAAAGGCTTCTTCCATAGGTGAGTTGGATTTTCTTGACGCTTTTCACATTCACAAAGATTTAGCAGGTTTAGTTAATGATTTGAAGTCCAATGCAGTCCTTCCTAATGCCTTTAATTATTTTGCCGATAGATGGCGTTTAGTACTACCAGAGGGTATAAAAATCCGTTCAGTGGTTGCTTTCCATTATTTGAAGTTCAGATTTTGAGCGTAAGGTGCATTTGCCCCTCGCTCCCTATTTTAACTTCGCTACTTTTTTCTTGTCCTTTATGCTTGATCAGATAGCCTGGCTCAGTAAAAGTAGGCGGCCAATGCAACTCTGATTAAAAATCTAGTTATAACCACATGCAGTGCTGATAAGGACCACGTGTTTCTGTGACTCCTTTATTTTCTTCTTTCTAAGTATTTCTTTCTCCTGATGAGGAGGGACCTTTAGCTGCCCTCGAAATCGATTGAGTGTTTCATCATACCTATGCTAAATACAAGGTTGTTTTTACGATTTTGATTGTCACATTAGCGTGTTTCTCTTCTAGTCTAGTCTGGCATAAGTTATTTCTAGAAAACGGTTAACTTCAGCAACATCTTTGTTGGAGGACCATAGATCTGATTTGATAAACTTCAGATCTGAGAAGCGTCTTTCTACACTGACTTGAGTAGGAGAAAGAACTATTACTGTTAGGGCTACTTCTTTTAACTTTTCAAGATAGATTTTTATAAGTTCTGAAAGAGGTGTCTTGCAAGAGCAATTGTATTTCTCCATTTCTTCAAAAGCCGTGTAGAAATCTTGTTTATATTTTTTTTCAATTTTACATCTAAAGGCTCTTGGTTCTTTTATTTTCAT